AATGCGGCCAACATTAGTGGTGTGACGATTCACCGATACGCATCGATGTATCGATCCATGGGCCGCCGATACAAAGGTTTACATCGCCGTATACCCCGATACTTCAAACGGGCCACGATACATCGATGTTTTACTTTGAATATTGCCGAATCGCGATATCTGTCAAGAAAGAAAGACTTACTTTTGTTTGATGATTAAAATATACTGAACAGCAAAAGAAACGCAAGTTTCGAAAAAATGAAATTTCATGAAGGTAAGCGTTAATGTTTATGGAACGTTCATGGTAAAGTGACGTAATGATCCCAGATGAGATGATGTCATGCAATTTGACGTCCATACGAACCATTGGCACAAACACGCCAACAGTGCAGAAAAACCATAATTTTAGCACGTGCGTCGACGGTTCTGGATGGAAAGCATGCATTTCACTCTGAGGTATTCGTTATAAAGGTTTGTTGCAAAAAACAGTTCAGTATTGACGCTAGGAGGTGTACACGCCACACAAACGATACCTAGACTAACGACTGAGCAGAGGGGAGTGGCCATTGGAAAGTTGCACAGAGGTAGCTCTGCAACCGCTGTAGCTAGGAAATTGGGCTGTCATCTTACCACATTACACGACTTGCTCAACGTCATCAGCAAACCGGGGTTGCTGCTGATCGTCCACGTACCGGATGGCAACGCGTGACAACTCATACGCAGGATCAGTTCATCCGGGTCACTCATCTAAAGAACCGAACTCAAGCAGAAACAGTAACAGCAGCCTTAGTTCTTAGGTCAAGTGGAGCAGTGTCCAGTGATACGATTAGGCGTCGTCTTCGGGCTGCTGGAATCCACTGCCGACGGCCATATGTGGCGCCAGTTTTGACACGTCAACAACGCCAGCAGCCCTCACACAGCAACGGTGTTGATGGATCATCTGGCTCAGAACAACGTTAACATTTTTCCATAGCCGTCTCTTTCCCGGATATGGCTCCCTTTGAACATTCTGGGACGAAATTGGACGGTGGATTGGGGCAGGTAGACAGCCACTCACACTTGTACAATTGGAATACAGATTGGTGTTTGAGCGGAACCAGTTGCCTCAGGCAGTCTTTCAGACTCTAGTGAACTCAATGAGGCCACGTTGCGCGGCCTGTGTGCAAGCTCAAGGTGGTACGCGCTACTAAAGAGACTGTCACTTTTCGCGTTCAGGGGTATCTCCATTTGACGGACTGTGATCAATTTGAACTTATTGCAAATCAATGTCAACAGCCACTTTCAACTGTTAAATTGACAGTGTTTTCTATAGAATAAATGATTAGACATGATTTTGGTTGTCTTCTATTAAAAAACTGGAAAAAAGCCAGACTTGCGTTACTTTTGCTGTTCAGTATATATACTTATATATTAAGTAAACGTTTTCTCGGAAATTCTTGCATCAAGAACTGTGTCAGACATAGCGCTGGCATGTTATTAACATTTACAAAGACCGTGTATAAACTTAATTATCTCGTTTCCGAATAAGCATTGAAAAACGCTGGCGGAATTTGACGAAATACTTTAAAATGGTTTTATTTTGATCTTAAGGTCTTTTATTGTTGGTGTTGGAATTATATCGTGATACGTATCGACCCTTATATCGGGATTCGGTATCGTGATACGTATCGTATCGCCACCCTTATATCGGGATCGTAGCGTATCGTATATCGCCACCCTTATATCGTGATACGTGCATCGCCACCCTATATATCGGGATTCGTAATACACTTATATCGTGGCGTATCGCCACCCTTATATCGTCGTGTAGCGTATCGCCACCCTTATATCGTGATACGTATCGTATCGCGACCCTTATATCGGGATTCGTATCGTATCGCAGCTTCAGTGCAGAATACTTTGGCAATATATCGTCGTGACTAAAATTGCAATGTCGTGATGTATCGTATCGCAGGTTGTATGCCAATACCAGCACTAGCCAACATTGGACCAGCATGATTGACTTCTGGGGAAACATTTTACACCCATATCACCTTTCAGTGTTGGACCAACGTTCAGCATGGCATGAAGTCAACACTGATCCAATAACAGTGTGTTTCTCAGGTTCACAGCTATAACTGGCATGTCAAGGACGTGACGCAAGGCGGCAAATACATAGTTACATAAACCCACAGGTATCATCAACCATAAATAGCCGTTTTTGTGGTTTAGAAAATGAAACGCAACCGATAAAAGGGTTGTCGGTAAACGGAATGAGGCAGTGGAATAGCTTTGCTGCAAGTGTGTATTCTGAACCGTTGAATAGCGTTAAACAGAGGTACTTAAGGCTTGTGAAATGTTTAGTTGTTGATTCTCGCACTCTGTGTAACTGGCAATTATTCCCTGTTTGTATACAGGTATTTCTGTATTATACAGAGTACTGCAGTCAGTGGTCCCGTGCTGATTCCAGGGTTTAACCAACACGATAACCAGGAACCAGTCCGTCAGAGAACACACAGCACCGAAATGTCATATCATGAACAACTGTATTCTATCGTTAACTAACAGCACCGAAATGTCATATCATGAACAACTGTATTCTATCGTTAACTAACAGCACCGAAATGTCATATCATGAACAACTGTATTCTATCATTAACTAACATTCACAAATCACTACAGAAGTATCCCTATTGTAGTACTGAACAAAGTGGTAGTAGAAACAGCAGTGATATAGCAACAGAGACAGTGGTGAAAATATGCACGTTTCAGCAACTGTATTAAACCTGGAAATCAGGCCTAGGCAGGGTAAAATGATCATGACACAATGCTGGTCTTCAGGTAACGTGACATGCCACGTAGATGAGAGGCAATAGCCAGCCTATAGAGCCACAAAGAATGTCTAGACTTTTCTACAGTACCAATACTATCCGACACCCTGGCATGAGCCCCTGCAGTACATTTCTACAGTACCAACACTATCCGACACCCTGACACCAGCCCCTGCAGTACATTTCTACAGTACCAATACTATCCGACACCCTGGCACCAGCCCCTGCAGTACATTTCTACAGTACCAGTACTATACGACACCTTGGCGCCAGCCCCTGCAGTACATTTCTACAGTACCAATACTATCCGACACCCTGGCACCAGCCCTGCAGTACATTTCTACAGTACCAGTACTCTACGACACCCTGGCACCAGCCCCCTGCAGTATATTTCTACAGTACCAATACTATCCGACACCCTGAAACCAGCCCCTGCAGTACATTTCTGCAATACATTTCTACAGTACCAGTACTATACGACACCCTGACACCAGCCCCCTGCAGTACATTTCTACAGTACCAGTACTATACGACACCTTCGCACCAGCCCCTGCAGTACATTTCTACAGTACCAGTACTATCCGACACCCTGACACCAGCCCCCTGCAGTACATTTCTACAGTACCAGTACTATCCGACACCTTGGCACCAGCCCCCTGCAGTACATTTCTACAGTACCAGTACTATACGACACCCTGACACCAGCCCCCTGCAGTGCATTTCTACAGTACCAGTTCTATACGACACCTTGGCACCAGCCCATCCAGTACATTTCTACAGTACCAGTACTATACGACACCCTGGCACCGACATCCTGACACCAGCCCTCTGCAGTACATTTCTACAGTACCAGTACTATACGACACCCTGACACCAGCCCCCTGCAGTACATTTCTACAGTACCATTACTATACGACAACTTGGTCCACATGTAACACTTCGCGTGTATAGAGCGTATAGAGGTGGGTTCTGTCTCTGACAGTCACTTGTCAAAGCTGATCTTTCTTCTGAATATCGATCATGACATATTTTTCATTGAAGAATATGCTTTCGGACGTACTGTCTCCATGCTGCAGGCCCGTTATAGTACAAATGTCAGCTGAGCGAGGCTTTTATGAGAGGCGTGGTGCGTCTACGAGATGCGTGGTGCGTCTACGAGAGGATATCCATTATGATACTGTCATTGAGACTGATTCAGGACGGCCATTATAGCTGCCATAGTGGGGCTGTCTCTAACCACGCCCACCAGTCTCACAGTCCAGCCCAACGTTATTGTCCTATTGTTGACAGCAGCATTGTTAGCCAGTGTGATATTCCCACTACACGTGTAAGGACGGCCACAAACACGATGTGCCACCGGCTGGAAACACCCTGATATGTCTGCTCACCTCGCTGTCGTCTGAACCTGAAACCCCTCTTATTCCTGAAGTACATGTACATGTTAAAGTAAGTCTGTGTCAGTATCTTCAGTGTGTGAGCTACCAAGTCAGTATCACAATGGTTAAACGTTCCGAATTGTACATGCATACGAGGGAGGGTGAAAGTACTATACACTTCCCCTAATGTGCATGCAATTATCCAAGGGTGCAAGTAGGATGAGCTTCCCATATTGTACATGCATATCTCGAAGTGTGAAAGTAAGATACACTAAGGTTCAGGTTTTCATAAAAATCGCCGATAATAAAAACTATAAACTTGGAAACTGGATATCAATGTTATCAACACACCGAAACACCACACACCTAACACACACCTATCAAAATGTAATATTGCAGCAGCATCGAGTAATCGCTTCTTATTCGTTATACTTGAAGCCACCATCAACCATTAGTACTGGCAAGAAGGGAAACTGAGTATGTTCTCTGCGGGAGTTGTTTACCTCGGGTTTTTACGTGATGTGCAAGTGTTATTGTGATCAATTGTATTACTGCGCAATATGTGCAATGTAAATTGACGGATTATCTACTGCATTAACGGCTACCAATTAACGCTAATAAACGGCGGCAGTGCAATACCCAGTGTTAGGCTGTGAACATCAATACCCCTTTACAAGAAATGTGCTACATCTGTACATCTTAAGCTTTACACTGCAGCAACGTAATGAACTGAAATGAACAAAACATAATGATTATATCACTAAGTAGCACATCTTTCAACGGGAAGTGAAGTGTTGAAATTCTGTTTAACATATTCTGGAACTGACAGTATTACCTTGTTCCGAGCAGTGATGTTCTCCTTGTCACGGTAGCGATACCCTCCTGGGAATGACACCAGGAGCTGCTATATAGGTCACGCACCAGACTGAGGCTATGGGTGTAATATTAGTTGTTATGTTGTCAGATAGGTGCTGGGGGCCGGGCGCGGTGTTTGTATACATATACACAGGCACCGATACTCCCTTGTTTGCCACCGCTGCCGCAACAAATAGCTGACCCATCACTGAACACTGGGCGAGAGAGCTGGAGTGCTGTTGTTACCATCAGCAGAGACTCGGACAGAGGCAACAACACAAAAAACTGTCTCAGAGGGTACAGTAACATTCTTACTTAAAACGTTATTACATGCCCGTTGGAACAGACAGAATAATAGACACCCGATAGCAGAGACCCGGTGGAATAGAGAGGATGATAGAGACCCGATAGCAGAGGCCCGTTGAAAGAGAGGGACAAATAGAGGCCCGATACTAGAGGCCCGGTGGAGTAGAGAGGATAAGGGAGGCCTTATGACAGAGTCAAGGAGGAATAGAAAGGATACGGAGGGCCTTTAAAAGAGGCCTGTATGCAGAAATGTGCCCTATACAAAGTCAAAATACAGAAACGTACCCTGTACCCTAAACGGCGGACGAGTCCATAGTCCACACCCCCAAACCGTGACCGTATGTAGTTGTTCCCGTTCAACTGATTGCGAGTGGTCCAGGCTGGCTATTCTCGAAACGTTCGTAGCCCTACGAACTTCATAAGCCCATTCTTAACACATTGCCTACGATCAAAGTTAAGAATTCTTAGGGCTACGATCGTTTCGAGAATAAGGGCCCTGGGCATCGCGAAATATTCCTTACTGTGTATGCTCGTTTCTTATATAACGTAATCAAATGCATCTAATACAACAGTATGGCAGTTCCGGTCAAGAAAACTCCACAATGCGGAGTGGACTCATCCTAGGGTATGTTTCTGTATACAGATGTTGGCTAGGGTACCTTGGGTACACATCTGTAGTACCCGTGCCGACAACGACCCCTTCGACGCACGTAATGCATATGTATACTCAAAACCATATTTTGGCATCAGATAGGATTATAGTTTCACATAAACACACCATGGGTTAGGAGAGTATACTTTCATACATTGATATTAAGTATTTTTTAAATTGCGTTTGGTTTCATGTACAAAACAAGCATATTTTTGACTGGACATTGCCCCTTTAAACCATTAGGCTACGAAATCTGTCCTTTACGTTTTGGCGTTCAAATGGCATGTTGGCAAAAATATGGTGTTTTGAAGACTTAATTTGAGAGTTTCAGCCTTGTCACTCTCTAACAATCAATGCTAAGCCTGTGGGATCTGGGTCACAGTAGGCCGCCAGAGCTCGATGTCTGGTTGTAAGCGGTGGTTAAACTGGAATGATGGTTTGAGGCTTGTCACTGTAAAGTACTGTTGTCCCTGTCAGCTAGCAGAAGCCCAGACCCCGTTCACACACTCATCCTGGGGTCATGTCTGAGGTGGGATTACATTATAGTACGGGACTAACGACTGTTTTAGCATTAAGATCACTTCGTAGAACAGACAAAACTCATGCAGTTTCTGGTTGCATGTACACACGTCAATTGAATAGGGTGGTTCAGGGTTGTTGCTGAACTGTGCTCTGCAACATCAAACAGAAGATTACATACGTGTTGACACTTACTATATGATATCCCAGCATCGTGACTGTGCAACATCAAACAGAAGATTACATACATGTTGACACTTACGATATGATATCCCAGCATCGTGATTGTGCAACATCAAACAGAAGATTACATACATGTTGACACTTACTATATGATATCTAATCATCGTGACTGTGCAACATCAAACAAAAGATTACATACATGTTGACACTTACTATATGATATCCCAGCAGCGTGTCTGTGCAACATCAAACAGAAGATTACATACATGTTGACACTTACTATATGATATACCAGCATCGTGACTGTGCAACATCAAACAAAAGATTACATACATGTTGACACTTACTATCTGATATACCAAGCACAGTGGATGTGCAACATCAAACAGAAGATTACATACATGTTGACACTTACGATATGATATCCCAGCATAGTGGATGTGCAACATCAAACAGAAGATTACATATATGCTGACACATACTATATGATATCCCAGCTTCGTGACTCTGCAACATCAAACAGAAGATTACATACATGTTGACTAGTGCTATATGATATCCCAGCTTCGTGACTGTGCAACATCAAACAGAAGATTACATACATGTTGACACTTACTATATGATATACCAAGCATAGTGGCTGTGCAACATCAAACAGAAGATTACATACATGTTGACACTTACTATATGATATCCAAGCATCGTGACTCTGCAACATCAAACAGAAGATTACATACATGTTGACACTTACTATATGATATCCCAGCATCGTGACTGTGCAACATCAAACAGAAGATTACATACATGTTGACACTTACTATATGATATCCCATCATCGTGACTGTGCAACATCAAACAAAAGATTACATACATGTTGACACTTACTATCTGATATACCAAGCACAGTGGCTATGCAACATCAAACAGAAGATTACATACATGTTGACACTTACTATATGACATCCCAGCATCGTGACTCTGCAACATCAAACAGAAGATTACATACATGTTGACACTTACTATATGATATCCAAGCATCGTGACTGTGCAACATCAAACAGAAGATTACATACATGTTGACACTTACTATATGATATCCCAGCATCGTGAATGTGCAACATCAAACAGAAGATTACATACATGTTGACACTTACGAAATGATATCCCAGCATAGTGGATGTGCAACATCAAACAGAAGATTACATATATGCTGACACATACTATATGATATCCCAGCTTCGTGACTCTGCAACATCAAACAGAATATTACATACATGTTTACTAGTGCTATATGATATCCCAGCTTCGTGACTGTGCAACGTGAAACAGAAGACTACAAACATGTTGACACTTACGATATGATATCCCAGCATCGTGAATGTGCAACATCAAACAGAAGAATACATACATGTTGACACTTGCTATATGATATCCCAGCTTCGTGACTCTGCAACATCAAACAGAAGATTACATACATGTTGACACTTACTATATGACATCCCAGCATCGTGACTCTGCAACATCAAACAGAAGATTACATACATGTTGACACTTACTATATGATATCCCAGCATCGTGACTGTGCAACATCAAACAGAAGACTACAAACATGTTGACACTTACTATATGATATCCCAGCAGCGTGAATGTGCAACATCAAACAGAAGAATACATACATGTTGACACTTACGATATGATATCCCAAGCATAGTGGATGTGCAACATCAAACAGAAGATTACATATATGCTGACACTTACTATATGATATCCCAGCTTCGTGACTCTGCAACATCAAACAGAATATTACATACATGTTTACTAGTGCTATATGATATCCCAGCTTCGTGACTGTGCAACGTGAAACAGAAGACTACAAACATGTTGACACTTACGATATGATATCCCAGCATCGTGAATGTGCAACATCAAACAGAAGAATACATACATGTTGACTCTTACTATATGATATCCCAAGCATAGTGGATGTGCAACATCAAACAGAAGATTACATACATGTTGACACATTTACTATATGAAGCCATTAAAAACGCAATTTGACATTCATACTCTCTTTACTCACACCAATTTCAACATATATAAACCTAACTGGCAGATCTGTTTTAAGTGAACATCTGTGAATAATTTCACCTGAAAATGTCCAGTCAACAACAACATCAGTGACGCAACAACGACATCGAACAAAGGAGGGGTCACGTGCAGTCAATATCGTGTTTGTCCACTGTGCGCTGCAAGACATGCTCGCAGTCTTTGGGGCATTGAAAGACACACATTTCTCAGGAACAGCTGTTGGATGGTCTGCAGCCTCTGATGGTCTGTGGTCTGATCGTGACACCACGCCCACCTTTTGGGCGCTGAAATGACGTTGACTTGTCCAAATTGTCCTCCTTGCCTCATCATCAGCTGTTTGGAACCGATTTCGCAAGTGTGAAACTCAGATATTGCGGTTTTGTCGAGCTGTTATCACAGGTGGTGCACCAGGTCGCGGACGATCAGCAACACTTCCGGTAGCCCGAAAACGTTGTCTGAGACGACTTACAGTGAATGGATGCACATTAAAGTGCCTGGCAATCATCACATCTGAAGCACCTTGGCTGACCATACCGATAACCTGATTCCTTTCGACTTGTATCAAGTGTGGCATTTTCTCAAAGTGATTGAGTTCCACAATTCCTTGTGCTTTTACAGGGCTTCGGTGCAGGTAATGCATGTGCACAACGTGTTTCATGAATGTGGTTGTGTTTACGAGAAATGTCAAAGGTTCAGTTTTAAGTATCACAGTTCATGTGAGAGGAATGCTCCGGGACTCGGACTCGAAATGGGCCAGAATAACAACCTTTTATCCCTACATCCTCTGCATCTCAGGCAAAAATCTTCAATAGATATTTTGTGAGTTTCAGGGCAACAAATACCAATTGCGTTTTTTATGGCTTACAGTATACTATATGATATCCCAGCATCGTGAATCTGCAACATCAAACAGAAGATTACATACATGTTGACAAATACTATATGTTATCCCAGCTTCGTGACTTTGCAACATCAAACTAAGATTACATACATGTTGACACTTACTATATGATATCCCAGCTTCGTGACTCTGCAACATCAAACAGAAGATTACATACATGTTGACACTTACTATATGATATCCCAGCTTCGTGACTGTGCAACATCAAACAGAACATTACATACATGTTGACACTTACTATATGATATCCCAGCTTCGTGACTCTGCAACATCAAACAGAAGGTTACATACATGTTGACACTTACTATATGATATCCCAGCATCCTGACTCTGCAACATCAAGCAGAAAATTACATACATGTTGACTCTTGCTATATGATATCCCAGCTTCGTGACTGTGCAACATCAAACAGAAGATTACATACATGTTGACTCTT